CAAAAATTTGGATTTGATGGCCTTAGATGATGATCATTTGAATGTTCTTAAAAAAAGAAGCAAATTTTGACGAATGCCTCTATTTTATCATAAGTGAATCTTTTTCAAGCTTACAGATGTTTTCTATGCGGCTGCAATTTTCAATAATCTCTGCATCATCAGAATTAAAGACTTTAATATCATTGCAGTTACTCTTAATCCGTCACCTGTATTTTGGGTGTGGGTGTGGGTGTGGGTGTGGGGTGTGGGTGGGTGTGGGTGTGGGTGTGGGTGGGCGTGGGTGTGGGTGTGGGTGTGGGTGCGGGTGGGCGTGGGTGTGGGTGTGGGTGTGGGTGTGCGGTGTGGGGTGTGGGTAAAAGGAAGGCTCCGACACCCACACCCACATTCACACCCTCACCAAAATATACCTTAATTGGTTGAGTATCCCCGAATGTGGAAATTTTTTAGGGAGTGATTTAGGGGACCACAATTTGTGGCAAATGATAAACATTTAAACCATCCTGACTCATCGTCATTGTTATCTTTATAACTCCTCAAGGCTCTTTCGGATTGAGCTGAAATTTTGGATTTGTAGGTTTTCCAACATGCTCTTTCATTTGGTGCCAAAATATCGTACTTTCAAAATTTGTCAAATACCGATGATATATAAATTTGGTGGTATTTTCATGGACCCTCTCTTAAATTTTCACATGGGTTATGAGTAAAAGAGTTTATAAAAATCAATTCAGTCAAGTTCAGATAAGATCAGGATCATTACGAAAATCATATAACTGATGTCTGTTGAACAATTCAAAATTCTTCAGTCGACCTTGTGGATAAAGCCATTTTTCCAAATCATTTAATCGTCCAAGGTATTCAATAGCATAAGCAGCTGCTTTAACAACTTTTTCATATGCAAATGGATTGATATTCGTAATTCGATCACATTGTTGATGATAACATGGATCATAGGCAGCATTAGCTAATCCGCCATTTCCTATTCCTAATATTGCTGCATATTGATCTCGTTCGCTGGCTGATTTGATGCCTCCAGCTCCTGTATTCACTCCACCAACTGCCAAACCTGCAGCTAAAAATGGGACATAATCACTACCACCTCCAAGTGATGCGTTGCTCCAGGGTAGATTTTGTTCACTAAACCATTGACGAAAAAGATCTGTAATTTGACTAGTACCATTTCGAGCTTGTGTGGGCGTTGTCGATGGAACTGTTGAACTGTCATGAATACCAAAACGGTAGTTGGGACCGGCTAACATATCATAATTTAAATTTACTAGGTAATCTTGTAAACGTTCACCTACAGTGGTAGTGCTAGGTAAGGATGCCTGATCAACATGATACCTAGCACCGAGAAGACCGAGTTCTTCGGCACCCCACCAGCAAAATCGAACACGATACTTATATGTAGAATAGCTTGACGACGTTTCAAATAAATGAGCTAAGTTCAGAGCTAAAATCAAATTACCGACTGTACCACTACCTAAATAAGAATGAAACGAATAATCCACCTGCCAATGTATTCATGCTTTCTTACCATTATCATTGATTCCACTTCCTGCTGTCACTCCATCACTATGAGATCCAACCACAATTGTTTTCGTTTTATCTCCTGTTGTTGTATCAGCACAGATATTTCCAATTCCATTTGCATCACTGACGTCAATATTCATGATCACACTAGTATTAGTTGTTACATTGCCCAACTGCATTCCCAAATTATACGATAGGAAATAAGCCGGAATTGTTGTATTTAAATTATTTCTCACTCCCTGAATTGGTTGGAAACGATCAGGTGCTGTTCCATCATTGTAAATGAGTAATCCTTTCACCCGATATTTTTCAGCTAATGCAGACTTTTCTGGATATGTGCAATCGCCTCGTTTGACTAAAGCAACTGAATCTGCTGCTGATGCATTTGTCCAATCAGAATCTTGACAACCAAGATTTGGAATAACTACTACTGGAACAAACGTATCGAAATTAGCTCGTGATGAAAATAAAATATGAGTGAAATCTGTTAAATAAAGGTGATTGACGATATTTCCATCGACTAGAGACTGTAATTGTGGCATTCCTTGAATAATATAATTTCGAACTGTGAAATACTGACGTGAAACAATCAAATTTGTATTTTGTTCAAGTTGGCTAGTAATATAGTCGAGTGTACCATTAAATCCTTCAGTTGCTATTGCACGTGTACCATTACTTCGATCAGCAATCACTTGAAGTTGTTCTAAATGTCTCATTAGATCATCAATTTTTATTTGGTCAACTAATGAGAGTAGTCCGACAGACGTTGTGGAGACTGATCCAGCAGATGTTGTAGAGAGTAGTCCAACAGAAGTTGTAGAGAGTGGTCCAGCAGAAGTTGTAGAGAGCGGTGCAACAGAGGTTGTGGAGAGTGGTCCAATAGAAGTTGTAGAGAGTGATCCAATAGAAGTTGTGTCCTTCGAATCTAGCCGGTTGACAACTACACCCAAGACGGCCGCAGTGAGAGCAATTGTTGTAATCGTAAACAAAATAAGCGTTCCGAATAGAATATATATCCATTTAACAGTCTGGACAGATGGTGATCCATGTATGCCTGATACTCTGTTCATCTTAACTAAGAATCTGGAAGGTAGAGTTATACTGAAATGTATCAAACCGATAAATCCATCGATATGACAACTAAAAAGAATGTTTTATTTCGAAAATGATAAAAAATATTTTTTTTTATTATCCTGCATCGGATACTGAAGTGTACTCTTATTGTTGAAGAAAAACAATAAACGTAAATGTCATTTATAGTGTTTAGCAGTGATTATTATCCTAGGTGGGGATATATCTCTTCGCTTCGCTAATGACAAAAAAAAATCTTTTATACTATAAATTCGTAATCAGAATTAACGTCATTTGTTTATAAAGAGTGACCGAGAAGTTCTTACTGGATTTAAATAATAAATTTTTCTTTGATAAAATACGTGGTTGAAAATTTGTCTCTGTAAAGAAAAGATGCAGTAAAACACGCTCTACAAAAATGGCCTCTAATTGATCCCGTTCTCTCATGTAGTAAGAAAGTTATAATCTTAGAAAGATGCTTCACAAAAAGCAAAAATTAACCGCGAAGCTTTCAGAACATACAAGGAAACTAGTGGACTCAATACAACTTGAGCACTTGGTTCACTTTCAAAATCACTTTAAAGTCAATGTATAATTAATGTTAGACGTCAAAAATGTTTACTCTAGAGTAATAATTTTGTGGACTCATGCTTTCTTGGAACGAAATGAGTCCCAAACCAGCCTTGATAATGAATTACAGTTTTATGAAAATCTTCTTCCATTATGTCGCGATGCATTCAGAAGAAAAATAATCTGAATATTACCAAGGAGGACAGTAGAAGATAGGTCAGGATGTGTTGCATCAAGAAATGTTAGAATGGAACAATTCAAAAAAAAAGGAGTACAAAGAGTAATACACTTGGAAAAGGACAAAGTCAAAGAACGATTAATTATCAATGCTGGTTTCAGATTCATTTCCTTCAAAGAAATCACGAGTTCACGAAACCACTCCTCTAGAATAAACATTTTTGACGTCTAACATTAATTATACATTGACTTTAAAGTGATTTTGAAAGTGAACCAAGTGCTCAAGTTGTATTGAGTCCACTAGTTTCCTTGTATGTTCTGAAAGCTTCGCGGTTAATTTTTGTTTTTTGTGAAGCATCTTTCTAAATCTGTAACTTACTTATTACATGAGATAGCGGGGTTAATCAAAAGCCATTTTGTAGAGCGTGTTTTACTGCATCTTTTCCTGATAGAGACAAATTTTTAACTACGTATTTTGTTAAAGAAAAATTTATTATTTAAATCGATTAATGACTTCTTGGCCACTCTTCATATATCTTTAAAGATGCCATTATGACAACTTTACGTTACAATGGAACAAGTCTAAATGTATTTTATAACGTCGTTTGATGATTAATGTACGCTGTTGTGAAGCAATTCAACTTTTATTGTTTCTCGTCAAGAATAAAAATCTATTATTGATAAAAATCATTAGAATTCGATTGAAAAAGCACTCAACATCTTTAGAAGCATAATTTATGGTTTTCAAAATGAAACGTTCTTTTCTTTATTATCAATTGAAATGTTTATAGATACTTGATAAAAACTTTGTTTTTAGTGTAGACTCAAGGACAACTAGGAGAGCCCTGTCTCTGCGGGTGGGTAGGTGAGTGAGGGTGGGTGGGTGAGGGTGAATTGAAGAAGAGATACTCACCCTCACCGAACCTCTCATAACAAAAACCTAACCATTGTCGAAAGTTCAGTAATTAACAAAACGTGTGTTATCGATGGTCCAGTTGCATAAACAGCACTAACTAGTGACCTTGCAACAAGAATCAGACTTTCAACAATGGGTGAAAGTCAACATTGCGAATTTCTGATTCCCAGAAAATTCATTCAATTTAAATTAGAATGTCTTAAAACTCTTATATAAATATCTTAACGACAACAATTTATTTGATAGGTAAAATTGCTTAAACGGGTGGGTGTGGGTGTCAATGAAGAGAAGAGCCACACCCACACCCCACACCCACACCCACACCCACACCCACGCCCACACTTACACCCACCCACACCCACACCCCACACCCACACCCACGCCCACACTCAGACCCACCCACACCCACCCGCACCCACACCCACACCCACACCCACCCACACCCATACCCTCAGGACACACAATTCCGTCATTGGGCTAGAGTTTTTTCTACGATAGCTAAAATATATTATATATTAGGAAAGATATATTCGACTGTTTGAATACATTCAATAAATCTGATTAATATTCAATTGATACGCTAGTAACACTGGAACGTGGTAGATATGAAAATCTAGTTGAGTGTAATCTTTCTATGACTCCGTGTGCTTTCAAAATCAATACTACGCATTTAGCTTATTCCCGTATCTATTATTTTTCTTATTAAAATAAAGTTAAAATGTTTTTCATGTCAAAGCTGATATTCTAGAAATATATTTAATTTTTCATTAGCTGCAAAAATTTGCGTTGTATTAATAGACCTATTATTATGTACGGTATTATAATAAGACTTTATGTTTCATTTTTCGAAAAAATTCTTTTTTTTTTATTGGTAAAAAATAATATGCATGGTGTTCAAATGAAAATTTAATTAAAAGCATATATTTTGATTTTAGTATAATTAATTAGCTGATTTGAAATAACTTTGACAAAATTTGTTGTCGAAGTTTTAACTTCGATAACTGTTAGCGTCGAAGTTATAACGTTCGTCGGCCGGTGTAACTTCGATACGACATATATATCGCGTACAACAATCAAATTAGACTGAACATTCATGTTGTTTTTTTTTCAACGAGGTCATGTTTTGCATTCTTGACTGACCGTAATCGAGCTAGACAAACGAAAAAAAAGATATATAAACACTTTCAAAAAAGAATCATAACGATTTGAAGCAAACATGAATCGTACTGACATTCATCTACTCGATCTACCTGTTGAGATATTACTAAAGATCTTAAAAAAATTGAGCAATATGAATGTTCTCTATTCATTAATAGGAGTTGAAGGACTTGACCTTCTAGCACAAAATGAAATTTTTACAAATACTCTCAATTTTGCTTTGATCAATAATGATGATAATTATTCAATTGATGAACCAATGCTAAACCGATTTTGTAACGATATATTACCTCGAATTCAATACACTGTTAGATGTCTTGTTTTGGAAACAATAACAACTATGGATCGTATTTTACGTGCTGGTGTTTATCCAAATCTTACTCAACTCAAAATATTCAAATTTCAAGCAAATGTTTTTTCACATTTTTGTACAGGTAAATAACTTATGAATTGATTTAGCTAATGAATGAAATCTATGAGAATAAAAAATAGAAGATCAGAATATCTATTTGTGTTTTGTATTTAGATGAATTACTTTTCCGACACCACTTCAAAAAACAAATTACAGATCTTACATTAGTCAATAATTCCCGTCATGAAATAGGAACTATAGATCAGATGACAAATGTATATTTAAAATTGCTTGATTTCTTTGAAAATCTTAACTATTTGAATTGTATTGAAACATTTATTCATGGAAATCCAATTTTATCATTTATTAATTTACCATCAACTGCTTTTATTTCTTCAAATCTAACTAAATTATGTATTACAGTGGATAATTTTGGAGATTGTCTTTGTTTACTTGATGGTCGTCTCAATCAATTATCTACATTTATTATTATTATCGTTAATGTCAAAGATAATTCATCGATGGAATTCAACTCAGTAAGTTAGAAGATTCAATATTGTTTATTTTGTGAGTGATTGACTTTTATAATCTCAACATGGATGTTTTGTCAATAGAATAAAGTTTACAAGCGTGACCTAATATTTCTTCACAACTATATTAATAACAAACTGTGAAACGCTTTGCACTAATAATGCTGCTTTTAGCTTAAGGTTCTCAATTTTCTTCTTTCATTATCATATAAGAACTTTCGAATGTTATATTCTCTAGTATAATAAAAAAAATAGAATAAAGTACTTAAATGTAGTAAGATTTTTTGATTTAATATTTAATAGAAAAATACTAAAGAGTATAGATAGGATTATTTAATATCATTTATTCATTGATTTATAATATCTTAATATAATTCATCATATTTTAATCTACTAAAAGTTTATATGTTTTTTCATTTATTACCAGAAAGTTTTGTACATAATCGAGTGATTAAAAAGATTTATGCAAAATTTTAAAAATCTATAAATCTATCATTTTTGATTGTCAATGTTTTTTCTTTGTGAAAGTGATAAAAACTGATTATATATTGTATGTTTTAGAATGATCTACCTAATTTGAAATATTTCTCATTAAAATTTAAATCTTTAACTAATGAATATGATAATCAAGTTGTACCTCTTCTTCATCGAATGTATAATCTTCAAGATTTAACATTATATATTCAAATCAAAGAACGAAATAGACTTGTTGATGGTATTCAACTTGAAAATGATATTCTTATTCATTTGTCAAAACTTCAAAGATTCGTTTTTTATATCTGTACTTTTACTAGTGTCAATCATCCTGTTACTCTTTTATCAAATGATGATATTCAACGAACTTTTTCTAATGTAAAATTTGGACAAATTGGTTGTAGTATGAATTATATCGATGAATCTGATATCAGATATCATGTTTTCTCACTTCCGTTTATATTTGATTGTATAGGATATATTGGTAATAGCTTTACGAATACGATATTCAACAATGTTACTTTTTTATGCATATATGATGGGATTCCATTCGAACATGAATTTTTTGTTCGGCTAGCTCGATGTTTTCCATTATTGAAATCTTTGTTTATTATAAATTGGAAAGCACAATCAAGAGATTCACCTGAATCTGAACATGACAATACTAATGGATCATTTGAAGTTGTCCAATATATTCATCTCACATCACTCCACCTTCCCCGTACACATATTGATTATATTAACCAAATGTTAAATGAATCAAAAACACGTTTACCTTGTCTGACAGAATTATGGATTCATTATGATCAATTAAAAACTGTAACAAATAATTTTACAAGAGATGCAACGAGACTTAATTGTATCAATGTGAAAGAATTACATTCTGACTGTCCCATCAATCATGACGACAATAGCGATGATGACTCGATAAAAGCACAATCAAAAGATTTTCATCTTTATTTTCCTTTGTTGAAACTTTAATTTTTTGTAATTACTTAAATATAACGAAATAAAGATTAAAAAGTCTAGTTTCATTATGATTTTTAAAAAAATCCTATTAAGTCAAGTAATCGAATTTCATATTTCACAGATGAAAAACAAATAAAAACGAAAAATCTAAGGAATCATTGAAAAAAAAAA